CACCAAGCACCCCCACACTGGAGATGTGGGAAAGATGCTCTTAGTCGCCGGACATGTAAGGTCTAGTGGGGGAGACAGAGCAGACCCCATGTGTGAAGAGAGTCCAGACACACAAATACAATAAAAATAAAGCAGATGCAAATCCTTGCAGCAGTGAGAATCCCAGTGCAGATGTGAGCTTGGTCTCAGGGTCCACCATCAAGTCACAGGAAGAAGTTGAATGTGAGTTGCTAGGTGAGCATCAGAAAAGCCTTCCTGCTCTCTCTGTCCCAAAAATAAAAATAAACGTTGAAAAAAAAAAAAAGAGGGGGGCGCCTGGGTGGCTGTCGGTTAAGCATCCGACTTCAGCGGAGTCACGATCTCCATGATCGTGAGTTGGAGGCGATCAGGCTCTGGGCTGATGGCTCAGAGCCTGGAGCCTGACTCATTCTGTGTCCCTCTCTCTCTGCCCCTCCCCCGTTCATGCTCTGTCTCTCTCTGTCCCAAAAATAAAAATAAACGTTGAAAAAAAAAAAAAAAAAAAGAAAAGCCTTCCTAGAAGAGGTCACATTTACTCCTTTGCCATGTCTCATGGAGCACTTACTGTGGGCACTGCTACTGGTGGGCATGGCAGACCCAGGGTCTGCTTTTGGGGGAACACAGTGCTGACTGTGCAGGGAGTCTGGGGTCAAGGAGACTGGGGGCCCCACATAGCCCAGCACATCACCCAGCCCAGATGGGAAATCAGAGCAGTCCTCTTCAAGGAAGTGGTGTTTTCATCAGATTCCTAAAGGCAGCCCTGCCCCTGACCTTAGGGGAGCCAAGATGAAGTACAAAGGACAAAGCAAAAAGAAGGCCCCAGCCTGTGGCCTTCCTACCTTCTCTTTCCATCCTGGCTTGTGTGCCTGGGTGTGGACACTTCAGACCTCCAGTTCAAACTCCATCCACACACCACACCCCCACAGGCCCTCCGCCAGCCTTTGGGCCTGGAGTTATGATCTCCCTACAGAAGGACTGATCCAGATACCAGGCTCTTGCAGGCCCAGAAGTGGGCTTGAGCTGTTTAGACAGGGGACTTGGGAGTCCTGAGTCTTCAGGGATGAATGATCTGGAAGTGAGTGCACAGCCACTGGGCAGACCCATTCCCTCCACCCCATCACAGGCCTTCTAAAGCATGGGACCCAGGGCAGGTCCTGAGGGCAGTTTTACCTAATCAAAGTCTGGGGGCCATGGAGACCCATCCCATAGAAGACCCCTGAAATGAGAAAAGGCCTTGGTCATCTCCCTAAAAGCAGGAGTGTGGAGAAAGGTCGAAGGTGAGGTTGCAGAACTGATGAGGGCCTGGTGGCCAAGGTAAGGATTTGGCTTCACAAAGGACACGGGCAGGACATGGTGGGGGCCAGGGAAAGGTAATTTATGAATGGAGCAAAAGCATTCCTTCCAGACTGAGGTTGTGTGATGCCAACAAGGTGTTTGATGTGAGGAGAGCAAGCTGTTGAGTTTGGCTAGGCCTGAGAGTACTGACAAAAGCAAAAGAGGCAGAAAAGAAGTGTCTGGAGAGGAGCAGTTGTGGAGTTTGTAGGCCTGTACTCAGGGTCAGGCCCTCAGGGTAATCACAGAGCCTCTGGGAGGGACTCTTACGGAATTAGGCGGGGGCCAGATTCTGTCTTTATTCTGTGCTAACCATTCAAATAGGGCAAAGTAATCTGCCACATTTAACACCTTTCTACTCTACACTTGAGTTTTAGTACTCTCTGTATGTGCAGTTTTTGTGTTTTTCTGTGTTATTCCAGTCCTGAAATTCTTTCTGGATTGGCAACACATCCCATTTTCCACTTAATAAATACAACCACCGTTTATGCCTTGGGCAACATTTTTCAGTCATTGCCAGATCCTTATGGGTTTTTTTGTGACATTCGTTTTTCATAATTAGTGATGAAAGTCACATCACTTAGTGCCTATAAAATTATAAATACATCAGTCTGCAATAAGACTTTTTTTTTGTCCCTGAAGTCTGTACGCAGATGGTGTGTGTGTGTGTGTGTGTGTGTGTGTGTGTGCGCGTGTGTGTGTACGTTTGTGTGTGTGTTTATGATAACAGTGCTTACATAATCTCAACAACCAGGCCCTGGGGACTCACACTTGGAGATGGAACGGCTGGTTTAAATTAGGTTTCCATGTGAAATACTGTATCGCTATTTTTTTCCTAACATTGTGGGAAAGTATATGGAAAATGATTTGACTGATAGGAAATAAATCTGGATGCATGATCAGGATTGAGGCACCAACCACGTGGTGGTCTGCGTCTGCTCTGTGAAGCTGGCCTCTCCAAGGGAAGATGGATTAACCCTTTCAGGCCACTAGACTAGTAAGTCACTGTGTGGGACCAGAATAGCCTGAAAGAGCAGTGACTCTCCAGAGCTGCTGATTGACAATCAGTTTCAGTAAAAAAGGAACTACAGCCACAAGAAGAATATAGCCAGAGGGCTCAAGACCTAATGCATCAGGTGTCTTTGGGAAACGCTTTTAACTTTTGGGGATTTATTTTCATTTGTAAGAAGATGAGTGTGAATTTCTAGCTCAAAGAGTCAATAATTATGACTCTAAGTGTTTGCTCACAGTTCCCCAGAGCAGGATAGGGCTCATTAAAGGCAAATCACATGAAAGGAAAAACTACACAGAACACCCATGACACTCAGTCAGTATTGACAAAACAGTTTCTTGCTCTGGAGAGTCAGGGTTTCACAAAGGTGACTTTTCACTGGGTAACCAGGTGATGAGGGCACAAGGCATAGAGACAGTGAGCAAGGAATCGCTTATAGCCGCAGGAGAAAGGATGGATCTGGGACTCGAGAAGGCTCCTGTGTGCTCAAAACAGCCCCGGGAGATCAGAACAAATGGCCATCTTAGGTTCTCCTCTTCCCAAGAGGCTCTGAATTCCTTGCCGGATGATCTGGACCCAGGCTTGTCCTAGGAGTCTGATTCCAGATCTGTTCTCCTGATGTTGCACGAAGTCCAGAGCAGGCTGAGAGCAGAGGTGCGTGCTCGGGGCCCACTGGGCTGGGGCAGGGCTGGGGCAGGGGCTCAGGGTGGCAGGTGGTCCCTCACATCCTGCATCACACTCCCGGCTGGTCCCACGGTGTGACCCTGTTTTACCGATGAAGGTCCCTGGTGCCACTGTTTTGCTTTTTGTTTCTGTGTAAGAAAGGGGAAGAGGTGTTCAGCATCTCTCTCTCCTGTTCTCCTTTTTTCGTTGCTTTAATTATTTTTTTGGTACTCTCCTTGGTATCTTCTCCTTTTAGTCTGACTCTGTGTTCAAATATGCAACTCTTAAGCAAGTGCTTAGGAAAACCTAAGCGGTGCCAAGTTTAAAGAAACTGTCATCCCTCATCAGATAAAAGAGTACCGCACTGGGAGTCCTAGTTTTGACATTAACAAGAACTGTGACCTCAGAAGATCACTTCTCCCATGAGCCATAGATTCTTCATCTGGAAAAATGGGTTTGGACCGCCCTCTGTGGTTGCTGCCAGCACTAAATGTCATTCGTTCCTACCATTTTATCAATGGGGCCGGTGGGGGTGGGAGGGAAGTGCAGTATGCCGTAGACCTTAAACTCTTTTTTTTGTTGTAGTTGTCGTGGGTCACCATGAGCGGGTGTTCTGGCCTCCCTCTCCCTCAGGCCAGGGAAATGAGGTGGTCCCAGGTGTCAGCACTGTTACTGAACCAGTGCAGCTAATGGGCCATGTGGGGTCAAGACCAAGGCTTTGGTTTGTTAGCAACTAAGTTTATCAATCCAGACATTAGCTAGGAGGGAGAAAGTAATTAAATGAACACAAGTATTCAAGCACCAACATATAGGTAGCAGCAAAATAATCTTAGAGATTAAGCAGAGGATTGAGGCTGCGTATCATGGGGGGGGGGGGCTTAGAAGTAGCTCATTATTAAATGTTATACTCTACTCTGTGTCGTAGAAAAAACTAATCACATTAGAATAACTTTCATCCCAGACCTCATGTATACACATCAGGCATTTAGTGAGTGGTTAATAGTGCCACCTCTGTGGCCCACACGCCTAAATTCAAATTCAGGCTTTACCACTTTGGGTTGAAGACTTGCACAAATCTCTTAGGCCCTCTGCCCTTCAGTTTCCTCATCTATAAAATGAGGATAATAATAATCCCTGACTCCAGACTGTTGTGAGAGGTGAGTTAACATATGTAAAATGCTTAGAATAATTCCCGGCACCCGGCACATAGTAAGTGCTTTGTAAGTATCTGTTCATTATTAGTTAGTCATTTGAGCAGCATAATAGATAGGGGTTTATTAAAGATAGTTTAAATATATAATTTTTTTGCATTTTTCATTTGATAGCATGCATTTTAGTACTTGATAAATATTCTTTTATTTATGGACTAAGTGCATTGATTGCATTTAATCTTGCTGCCCATCAGTCAAATGTATTTATGTGTATTTTAATCGATATTATCCTTGGGCTTTATTTTCTTATAGTCTCATGGAATTTTATGGATCGAGAGGGAGTTCATGAATTACCTTTCAGCCTCCTTACTTTAAAGATGAAGAATATGGAGAAGTGAAGTGACTTTCCCAGAATCCCATAGCAAAGCAGTGATGGAGACCCAGAGCTTCACCTCCGATCTCTCAGCTGGGTCTTTCATTTCCAAGTACTAAACTGATTTTTAAAAAAAAGAAAAAGAGTGGGGTACCAAGGTGTCTCAGTCTGTTGAGCTACTGACTTTGGCTCAGGTCATGATTTTGCGGTTTGTGAGTTCGAGCCCCACATCAGGCTCTGCGCTAACATCTCAAGCCTGCTCCAAATTCTGTGTCTCCTTCTCTCTCTGCCCCTCCCTTGCTCACACACACACTCTCTCTCTCAAAAATAAACATTAAAAATTAAAAGAAAAAAGAAAGAAAGAAAAGAAAAAGAGTTTTCCTGTGGAAAAAAAATATTCCTTGAGTTTTCAGGACATAGGTTCAGTGGATCCCCTCTCTGCATTTTCTAGGTGAGCTCCTGGGTAACGTGGCTGATCCTCACGGCGGGCTCCATGGAGGAGAAGCGAGAAGTCTTCTCCTATTTAGTGCACGTGGCCAAATGCTGCTGGAACATGGGCAACTACAATGCTGTCATGGAGTTCTTGGCCGGCCTCAGGTATGGGAGTGGGGAATACAGTTATCTGGGTACGAGGTGAATGGCACTGAATTAATTGCCCTGGAAACCACATTTACCCAAACCAGGCACTTAGTAGTGATTATTTGCAGGAAATACATTATCCTTTGCTAACACCACAAACCTTGCCCCTCAAAGATGTAGCAGAATTCAGCCCCTATGGCCAGTCATGCTCCTAATTAACTGTCTGCTCTGATCTGTTGGCCAAGCTGGGTAAAATTTCCTGCTTGCATAACTCCATCCGCCCCATCACTGACCGCTGCTTACCCTCTGTGTCCTATAAACCCCACTGTTATCTATCTCTTTGCAGCTCTGCCTTATGAATTGCCTCAGCACTGTAGAATCCCAGCCACTGCCTGGGAGTGGCTAACACTGATAATAAGCATTCAATAAAAGTAGTTCTTATTTTTATTGAACACTTACTATGTATCAGGCACTGGGCTGTACATTTCCTATGCATTAAATATTTTAATTCTCATAACAGTTTCTTGGTAGATACTAAAATTCCTACATCTTGCAAAAGAAGGAACTAAAGTTAGAAGTTAAGTCATTCATCCCAGGCCATCTGGAACGGCTGGGATGTGAATGCAGGCAGCCTTGATTTGAGAGTCCTTGCCCTTCACCTCCGATATCTTGCTCTTATGCCTTCTCCACTAAGCTAATAATAAGATCACCATTTTATCACTAAAGTCTTCTATCTTTTTTCCTTTCAAGCCTCAGTTACCCGGCATAAAGTAACTGCCCCTCACTCTTAATGGAGGCAATGTGGTGTGAGGAAGAGCATGAGTTGTTGGGTCAGAACAATGGGATCAAATCCTGGCTCCCCCGTGGAATAGCTGTGTGGTCTGGGCAAGGTGCTCGACCTCCTTGAGCCCCAGTTTCTTTATCTGTAAAATGGGGATGATAATAATAAAAAGCACCTACTTCCTCACCCAGGATTTAGTGAGATAGTACGAAGTGTTTAGCATGCATGTTTGGCATGCAGTGAGGCCCCATAAAGCGAACCTGTTGTTCTCAGTGTCTGAGATTCGCCTTCCCAGTGAGGGTTCTCACTATAAATAGATCTTGCTCCCTAACGTTACCGGGATTTTTCTTTGATTCTCCAGATCCCTGCAAAGGGATTCGTGGTTGGGGGAAAAAGGAAATTTCTCAGAGTTGGAATTTTTTTTGTCCTTTTGAGCTTTCTTAACTAAGAATAACTCAAATGACCGTGTCATTGGCATTCAAAATGATACATACAGATGTATCAGGCATGGCTCAAAAGAAGGAAAAAATAGAAAAAATACTGGGAGAACAGGAGGTGATTTGGATGATTGGATTCTCTTTGTGATAAGTTTTCTACAAAGAACCTCTGGTATTTTTCTTTAAAGAAAAGATTACATTATGATAACATAGTTCTATTTTAATGACACTTCTCCTCTGTGTTTGGCAAGTTGGTGCCAGCTATTGGCTGGGGACCTCACTTCCTCTCTTCTGGACATCACTGTCCTCAAAGCATGGCAGCTGGCTTGCTCCGAAGTGAATGACAAGAAAACAAGGCAGAAGCTGCAGTGCCTTTTATGACCCAGCCTCAGAAGTCACACGCTGTCACTTTACTACATTATACTGGTCACATAAGACTAGCACTGGTTGATTGTGCGTGGGGTCTGTGCTACACATGGAGGTGTGGATCATTGGAAGAAACAATTAGAAGTAAAAAGATTTACATATAACAATATTTACTCAATCATGGTGTCAATTTAAAATAACCCAGGGGCGCCTGGGTGGCTTAGTTGGTTAAGCATCTGACTCTTGATTTTCAGCTCAGGTCATGATATCACAGTTCATGAGTTCAAGCCCCACATTGGGCCCTGTGCTGACAGTAGGGAGTGAGCCTGCTTGGGATTCTTTCTCTCCCTGTCTCTGTCCCTCTGCTCCTCCCCCACTCATGAACAATAAATAAATAAATAAATAAATAAATAAATAAATAAATAAATAAATGGATGAATGAATTTTAAAAAATAAAAATGAAAAATACAATAACCCAAATGAGTATCAGTGGGGAAATGAATGAAATTACATGATGTATTCTTACAATGGAATATTATTTAACCACCAAAAATGTTTTTGAAAAATGTTTGATATCATTGGAAAACACATAATATATAATGCATAAAAATATCTGGGAACAAGGCTGTCTTTACTTAATAGCCTCAGCAATATTTACACAACAACATTTATAAAACATTCAGAACATACATCTACAAGTAGAATAAATACTGGAAGGAAATATACCTAATGTTGCCTGTAGATGTAGAACTATGGGTGGGTTTTCTATATTTTTGGTATTTTCCAGATTTTATACAACAAGCATCTAGTACCTTTATAAACAGAAAAAGAAAGTTTTAAAACCAGTGTCAGTTCTCCATCTAACAAAAAACCATTGATCTTGCTGAGGTTTGTCTTGTGCCCCCAAATGTACTGTGACTACGGTCACTCACAGAAACAAGGGCGATTAAATAATGAGAACTGTGTCTCACTCATTTATTCACTTAGTTTATTCACACTTCCATTTCATGCCCCAAAAGGGATTCTTACCACCTTATAAGAAACCAGGTATAGGGCAGGCTGGACTCAGTGGGGTGAAATCAGGAAACAATTTTAGTTTCCTGACCTCACTGTCGTTCAAACCTGCCTGACTGACTTTCCCTGCCCCCTGCTCTGGGTCATACCTTGGGAGGTCCTATAGCTTTCCTGGTCACTGATGGGGTCAATAACTTGTCTCATTCTCCTTTGCTCATGAGCATGAATAAATCTCAGAAACACACAGCTGTGCAAGGAAAGCAGGATGCCTGAGTACCTAATGTGTGACACCATTTATATAAAGTTTAAAAGCACTCACACATCCCTACAAACTGCTGGGTGATCTATACCTATGTTGGGGAAGCATACACAATTGTAAGGGAACAAGAACACTGGTCCCCTTTGTGGTCCCTTTTGGTGAGGGAAAGAGGAGTATGTGTTCCTGGAGGAGCCCACTGAGGTGTCAACCACATTATTAATGTTTTGTTTTTAATGTTTATTTTTGAGAGAGAGAGAGAGTGAGCAGGGGAGGGGCAGAGAGAGAGGGAGACACCGAATCCAAAGCAGGCTCTGTGCTTAAAGCAGAGTGCCCGATGTCAGGTTAGGACTCATGAACTGTGAGATCATGACCTGAGCTGAGCCCAATGTTTTATTTTTTAAATGGAGAGGTTGGTGCATGGGGTTTGTCATGTTGTACTTCTCTATGTCCTTTGAATGTCTTCTCTTGGACATAGTGATTTTTTAATCCAGTCTGATATAAATCAAAATTTCAACCTCACCTTTGGTTTAAAGCGTCACCTTTTCCCCACATTTCGCAGCCCAACAAATCTCAGAAACCTGCAGTGGAGCAGGAGAACGGGGTTTATCTTTTCTCACTCCAGCTCGGGGTCCTTGCAGAAAAAGTGGACAGGAGAAGAAAGAGGAAGGGAGATGGGGTAAAGGAAGCAAAGGTCTCCCTTGATGGGGGCAGTTATAATCTGGCCTAGGTGCTCCCAAAGACAGGTGTGCTTTTAGGGTTCCTCCCCAGTCACTCCTCCTACATTCCCCCACCTGCTGCCCTGTAGGTACCTCTCACTGCACCGTTAGCCAGCGAGGAGCAAGGCGCACTCAGTCCCCAGGATCCAGCTCTGGAAACCCTGTCCTCGCAGACTCTTTCTGCTGGGATTCCTCCTTGGGCAGCCACGTGGACACGTGGAACTGCCCCTCACGGTGGCCCTTACAGACTCACAGGAAACACACAGTGTTTTGCCCTCCCAGATTCTGCAAATGCAGGACAGGCCCACGGGAACCTTTGGGCAGCCCTACGCAGCCTGTCATCTTTAGACTTTTCCAGGCAGGAGTCACACACCAGGCTAAGTGATCAACAAACTCAGGACAAAGGTCAGCCTCTCCATGGAGTTCACTTGAAGCCCCTGCCCTGGGATGGTCCTCCTCCTTCTCACATATAGAGGGCTCTGACAACTCTATCCAAAGAAATATTCCCTACCTGGCTGCTCAGAGCCAATTCTGCATGGCATGATGGAAGGTTATATACCACAGAGGGCAAAGCTGTTGGGGTACCCTTGTGATGAGCTGGTGCCTCTCTTTAGGAAGTGGGGTACAATGTCACCTGTTGTTGTCAGCAGCAAGTTCATCATAGGAAAAGTCCCATCTAACATCCTGTTATGCAAATAGTATTTTAAGATCATGTCCCTTAGGATAACCCATGGCTTAACGTCAAAGCTGGATTTAGTAAAAGCAGTTCTATAAAAGAGACCAAAACAGATTTCATGTATTTTACTGAGAAACTGGCCTAATCCAAGGATAACATTTTAAATATCAAGAGGAGTGGACGCACCATATTTTCTGCAGATAGTCCTCCATAAATATCTGTACAAACCATATGACCCACTAGGTTTCCCTTTCGGCTATAGCTGCCAGAAAAATTCAAACCTAGTTTTATGCCCACCTTCCAAAATTAACTCCTTCCACAAATAACATGTGTTATTTGTATCTGTCCTATTTAATTTTGTGTTTCAATTTTTAATTAAAAGTAATACCTCATTTGGGGAAGTAGGTGGAGATAGGAGTCCTAAATAAATATCGAAACAGTGAAAACTGAGGCAAAAAGAATAAATTTGCATGGAGCTTGGGCTATATACTACAAACGATATTATTTCTCCTTCAGTCTCAAAAAACATCATTTACTTACAATAGGTCAAGAAAAGTTTTAAAAATGTGGCAGTTTATGGACCAGTCTGACCTAGAGACCATGAGGAGCCTGAAGGATGCCATGGCTCAGCACGAATCTTCCTGCGAGTACAAGAAGGTGGTCACGCGGGCTCTGCACATACCTGGCTGTAAGGTGGTTCCGTTCTGTGGGGTGTTTCTGAAGGAGCTCTGTGAAGTACTGGACGGAGCCTCCGGCCTCATGAAGCTTTGCCCGAGGTACAATTCCCAAGAAGAAACTCTAGAGGTGAGTCCTTTCAAAATCTGAAGTCTTCATTGCTGCCTGGCTCCTCACTCACTAAGACCAAGAAAGAACCTGCTGAGCCTAGGCTAATCCGTTGTCACTGTTGTGCTGGGTAACAGGTCCTTGGAAATTCCTGAGAAAAAAATGCTGGCTAGCACTGTTTGGGGCTTCTTCTTGTTAAATTAACTTGAATGGAGCAGTGTGTAAGTACCAGTGAAAATGGGTGCTGTTCTCTGATTTTTTTTTAAGGGATGATGGGGTTTTCTTCTCTCATTGGGTGGGAATGTCTGTATGCAGAGGATAAGAGAAGTCAAGCAAGAGTAGTAAGTTTTCTGAATCAGAGAAAGAAAACATGGCGGGAGGTCAACACTGCCTTGCTTTCCTCCTCTGAGGGAGGATCCTGGAGAAGCTGGCGTCTCATGTAAAGACGAGCTCCAGGCTCTGATCACGGCTGTCTCGGCTCTCCCAGGCCCGTGGCTTCTTGTTCCTGACTCCCAGAGGGGAGAGGACCTTGTGAGCTTTGACTCAGGGTATCGGGCATTGGAGAGAAAGGGCTCGGAGAAACTTGAAGAAAATAAGGAAACTGCCCTAGATGGTGTTTAGAAATGAAAGAAGAGACTGAATTGGGAGAACTTTACCAAGAATTTTGAGGAGTCCATAGCTGGCAGTTTCAAACCCAAATCTAGGATCATTGTCACCATGGCAACAGCAACACTACTGACCTTTCACACACACACACACACACACACACACACACACACACACACACACACACACCCCTTCTCGGTGGCCGTGAGAAGACTCCTAAAACTTCAGCCTCCTCTGTGTCACCTGGGAACCAGGCATCACCTGGTATCAGGGAGACTTAAGAGCCCCTGACAGGCACAGGTAACACTACCAGCTTGCATCTCTCTGGCTTATGAGGGAAGATGAAAGTGCAGTAAATGGAGGAGTAAGCTTAACACAAGCCCTCCCTAGCACACCCACACCATCTTAGACGCAGAGGATGTCTTAGACGCAGAGGATGCCACATCCAGTGGTGCAGCTGGAGCGCTTACCTCTGATGGGAGAAACTTCCTGATCATGAATACAAAGTATAAGAGCTTTAAAACCTCCAGGAAACCTCTGTGCTGCCATAGGATATATGGGAAATAAAGCAAACATCATTCTTTCTCTGTGTTTCCCTTGGGCCCCAGGAATGTTATCTGGTTCCATAGAAGAATGGACTTCTGTCATGGTTTTTCTCAATTCTCTCTGCCAGGAGAAAACAACCCTACCCTTCCTCGGCAAAGTAGGGCTAATCTTCTCCCTCGGGAGCCTTGAAATAATGCTGCTTTTTGTGTTGTAAATTTGAAACGGAGCGTTGATTCCTACAGGAACTAAAATTGTCTTAGTGGAAACAAGAGTGATAGCTCATGTGGTGAAACGAAAAAATGTTTTTCCTGGAGGCTCTTTCTTTTTCTTTCAATAAGAAATAGGCATAAGTGCCATTATTTATGGCTGTTGTGCTTTTATTTCCCTACCCAAGTCTTTTATTTAAGACACAGTACATGAAGTTGCAGTAACAAATTCTTGGTGTGTTTTTCTGTAGTTTGTAGCCGATTACAGTGGACAAGATAATTTCTTACAACGAGTGGGACATAATGGCTTAAAGAATTTGGAGAAGGAGTCCACAGTCAACAGCATCTTTCAGATCATCAGGAGCTGCAGCCGAAGTCTGGAGGCCGAGGAGGAGGACAGCCCCAGTGAAGGAAACAGCTCCAGGAAAAATTCCTTAAGGGATAAAGCCCGATGGCAGTAAGTTCTACACTGTAAAAAGAGAGATGCTCATTTTTTTTCCTTTCCTATCTCAGTTTGGTGTTAGGTGGACTCCTAACAAAACCCCACCACGACTCTACCAATTCTGAATTTGAATTTTCCTTTCTAACTTGGCTGCTTTGTTCTAGACTTACCGCTCGTAATTTAACTTCTTGCCACCTGTTATCTCTTTAAAAAGAATAAGCTAGAGCTATCCTGTCATTTCTAAAAATTCAGCAAATAAAGTTTTAGGATTAGAACCATGGTATTTATTAATTTCATAGCTTCTGTAAAACATAATTGTTATTGATCATGGGGTGGGGCACGGGGACAAGCATTAATATATTTTTAAGTCAAATACACTGATTTATTAGGGCTGGAGTGACACCCTGAAATCAGTCTTTTTAGGAGCTCCCCTAAGCCTCTGGGTGATTGTAAGTCAGGTTGTTTAAAGATCTCATTTCTGGGTGCCTGGGTGGCTCAGTTGGTTAAGCGTCTGATTTTGGCTGAAGTGATCTCATGGTCCGTGGGTTCAAGTCCCACATAGGCTCTGTGCTGACAACTCAGAGCCTGGAGCCTGCTTGGGATCCTCTGTCTCCCTTGCTCTCTGCCCCTCCCCTGCTCACTTGCTCTCTCCCTCTCTCTCTCAAGAATAAATAAACATTTTTAAAAGAGAGAGATCTCACTTCCAGAAACACGGTTCTGCAAGGTGGCATCTGTAGCTTTAAAACTGTTCAGTTGTTCCAATTGCTTGTTTATCTACAGCCATTGCTGCCTACCTAGACATGTGTACCCACAACTACATGACAAGTTCAGAAATCAGTGGTCTTGGGGCATATATTATGCCTCTTCAAGGCCATTTGTTCATGGGAAAGTCTAACTCAAATGGCAGAGCCTGGTCCAGCTAGAGGAATCCTCTAGCGCCATCTAAAACCTGTCTACTGGCTTTGACATCTTTGCCATGAAAGATTTTATCTGTAGTCAGTATTCATGAGTCATACCTTGCAGTTGTCTTTGAGTCCTTATGCACAATTGTGTGCATTTATAAGACCTTGTAGTTTGTTTTGCGAAGCCTTTTCTGGTTGTCTCTGTGTGTGTGAGCCTATACTGGGAAGGGCAACAGTGTTTTCAGAAAATAATTTCTTTGGATTTATAGAGCTAAATCCTTAGAATCTGTTGTGAACATAGAAATGAATGCTTTGTGCCTGAATCTCTAATGCTGTTATGTTTTAAGGAGATAAACCTGTATTCCAGATTCCTCCAAAGGACCCAAGTGCTCAAAGAATAATCTTACCACAGTGTCTGGGCCCTAAAGCTCAAATGTCTCACAAGTAGCTTCTACCAGTTGTTTTTTGTTTTTTAATTATCTCAAATCAAAGATTATTTGAAAGTTTTCTCACTAACTGTTGCCGACATTAGTAGCAATGTATATGCAGAGAGAGGACCGTTGATAAATAAACACATGTCTGCATAGGAAGCATCTCATAGCCATTTAAGTCCTTAATCTATATCTGCCTTTACTTGCCTATCTGTGTTTATAGGTATCTAGGTATATACTAAACTCCTTTCACAAAAGATTTTGTAGATGCTTATAAGAATAAATATAAATAAGGGCACCTGGGTGGCTCAGTCAGTTAAGCATCTGACTCTTGCTTTTGGTTCAAGTCATTATCTCATGGTTTGTGGGATCAAGCCCCATGTTGGGCTCTGTACTGACAGCAAGGAACCTGTTTGGGATTCCCTCTCTCTCTTTTCCTCTCTCTCTACCCCCCCCCCGGGCTCTTTCTCTCTCTCAAAATAAATAAATAAACAATAAAAAGTGAATAAATATAAATAATTGATGATATTAAGGGAAAAGAGAAATAGGATAGGAAAAAGTAAAACATAATCAAGTGTGTACTATCCAGTCTTTACAGTGACTAAATTTTGTTCTGAGAATTCTTAGTGACCAAAAGAAAGAAACAGTCATGATCCATGATAAGTTTCACGGTATTTATAAGAAAAATCAGACAGATGATTTAGAGAAGGAGCATGCCTTTTCCTTTGTTACACCCTACTAGGAGAGATACATCATCCCTGAATAGATAAAATAATGAATTTCAGATGGCTCTTCTTTATAACAACCTTCTCTTGGGGCAATGTGGGGAGGGGTGGGAGGTGTCACTTAAAGATGTCAACCTTTCTAAACTACTTTTAGGAACGCTGCCTTTGATTGAGCCTTAGAGACTTAGCCTCTGAGTTTCCCTTAACATCTTTTTGACGGTTTTTCTGGCCTGGAGTTCCTTCTAGTAATACATTTCTTATTTCATCCAACCACTTCTCCAGAAATTTTCATTCCCAATTTTCTACTTATTCTCTTGTCCCCTTTCTAATCATTTTATCATCTACATCCCAAGAATGTTGTTCTTTCACTTCCCGTTTTCCAGCCTTTACTGGTAAGCAGTCTTAGAAGGGGAAAAAAATCACAAAAATGCAAATATCCTGTGAAGCCATGTTAAAATCACATTAAAAGCTAGGTCACTCAGTACCAGAAATAGTTTGTTTTACCCCAAGTGGCTGCTCCTCTGAAAAGAACCAGCAAACACAAAAACCGGGGGTGGGGGTATTTAATAGAATTCACTGAACCCAAATCAGCAAGCACTGTTCCTGGGACCATCTGCCAGGCCTGGGGAACCTATTCCTGAACCAGAGCCCCGTGTTATAATTTCCAGCACAGGGATGTGTGTGGCAAAGGGATTTCCAGGTCCCAAAACCCATAGGAACCATGCTTTGTTGTTGATTTGGCCGAAACAAAGACTCTATAAACCTTTAGCCCTGTTCCTGTGGCAGCCATCAACTCTGTGAAACTTACATCAAAGAAAGAAGGGACAATCTCATGGTCATTGCTTCTCCCAGCCTGCAGAGTTCTCTTATAATTTTTCTCAAATCTCCCAGCTACTCCTGCCAGAAAACCCATTTGAAGCACTCACGGAAACCCCAGGAAAGTGATTATAAAAAGTTCAAGTCCTCAGCAGGAAAGGAATAGGGTTTAGAGAATCTCAAAAGGTCAGTGGAATTTTAGGGTCAACTCATCCAACTCCCCTGTACAGATGAAGAAGTGATGCCCATGGAGTCACTTGCCCATATGATGCCTACAGAGCTGGGGCATAAGCCTGACCACATTTTCAGTACAAGACAGGGTCTTTTCTCCTGCAGTGTTCAAGGCATTTCTTGTTAGTGTAGAGTGGCTAACCTCAGCTTCTTTTTATTTCTAGTTCCTATAGATTGGGAACATCTGAATTATAAAAACACTCCAGTTATATTTTATACAACCTATAAAACTCATTAATAAAGACTTTTTGGGGTGCCTAGATGGTTCAGTCAGTTGAGCATCTGACTCTTGATTTTGGCTCAGGTCATGATCCCAGGATCATGGGATTGAGTCCATATCAGGCTCCATCCTGAGTGTGGAGATTCTTAAGATTCTCTCTCCCTCTCTCTCTGTCTCCTTCTGCCCCTCTCCCCTGCTCACATTCTCTCTCTCTCTCTCTCTAAAATAAAATAAAATTTTAAAAAGTGATGATTTTTTTTAAATTTACCAGCACGGAGAATAAAGAGTTTTGTCTGTGTGAGTATGTGTAAGTCATGGAGGCATAAGAGAAGCATGTGATACCATTGCAGGGAAATGGAAATTAAGAATATTAAGATGTGAGGATCCTGGGTGGCTTGGTCGGTTGAGAATATGACTCTTGATTTTGGTTCAGGTCATGATCCTAGAGTTGTGGGATTGAGCCCCACATCGGACTCCTTCCTGAATGTGAAGCCTGCTTAAGATTCTCTCTCTCTCTCTCTCTCTCTCTCTCTCTCGTAAGATGTGTAAGAAGAGTGTGTAGTCATATAGGAGCTGCAAGCTCTTAATATTGTTGCCCCTCTTTAAGATGCTGCAGCTTGGGGGTGCCTAGGTGGCTCAGTTGGTTGAGTCTGACTTCGGCTCAGGTCATGATCTCACAGTTTGTGGGTTCAAGCCCCATGTCAGGCTCTGTGCTGACTCTCAGAGCCTGGAGCCTGCTTCAGATTCTGTGTCTCCCTCTCCTTCTGCCCCTCCCCTGCTCATTCTCTGTCTCTCAAAAATAAATAAACATTAAAAAAAAAGTTAAAAAAAAAAAAGATGCTGCAGGGGCACCTGGGTGGCTCAGTCAGTTGGGCAGCTGACTGGCTCAGGTCATAATCTCACAGCTCATGAGTTTGAGCCCCACGTCGGGCTCTGCACTGACAGCTCAGAGCCTGGAGCCTGCTTCAGATTCTGTGTCTCCCTCTCTCTCTGCCCCTTCCCTGCTCTCTCTCTCTCTCTCTCTCTCTCTCTCTCAAAAATAAATATTAAAAAAAAAAGATGCCGCAGCTTAAGAAGAATTTGTACATTTGAAGAAATTGGATATAAGTAGATAATGAGTTCAGACAGAACCTTAGAATGGAGACTGCTTCAGATGATTAAGAACTCAAATTTTGCAGTCACATTGCCAGCACTCTCTATTTATGTCACCTGGATAGGTGACTTCATCTCACTAAGCCTTGGTTTTGTCATCTAAAATAGGGATGGCCATACTGCTTTATAGAGCTATTGTAAGGATTTTGTGAGATAAGCACTTTTGCACTGTAAATGCCACATAGATGGGGTTATCGGGGCATGGCTGCCATCGCACCCTTCAGTGCAAAGCCAGGGCATCTGGGGGCCTGACACTTAGGTGTGGGCACTTGGCAGCAGTCGCCATTTTAGGACCACCCCTCAGTCATGCTCCCCTTCCTTACTGGAGAGAGCTGAATTCTGTGCCCTCCTACTCCAACTGCCTCCTTGAGACTTGCCTGGAAGATTATCCAATCCCACAGGGATAGAAAATAAGAAAGCTGAGCAGAAGGAAGTACAGTATCTGAGAAACACACACACACACACACACACACACACACTCACTCACACACACACTCTCAATGTGCAGGCACAAAATAATAAAATGACAGGAAACCAG